TATATATATATATATATATATATTTTTCTCAAATATTATTTTGAGAGTAGCAATACAATGTCATTTTTCAAATATTATTTTTTCCACAAACCACATGGTCATGTCTCGGATTTTCTAATATTTAATATCTAGGAAAAAAGACATACTGTAGTAAATATTTCGGAGCAAAATAATTCTAGTCGCTATCCCCTTTATATAAAATTACGCGTGTTGCCCCTAAAAAGTTTGAAAAGTAGGAAAAATCTAACCATCTAGGCTCTTCAATACCATGAAAAGTGGGGAAAGCTTAAAAAATAAAGAGTTGTGACGTGGGTAAAAGTTTTTTTTTTTTTTTTTTTTTTTTTATAAATTTTGCTCCCTTTAAGTGTAGTGTTGACTATCTGAACAACCCTCTCTAAAAGTTAAAAGCTGCCATTATTGATTTTGACGTATTCTTTTCTTCCTTTTTGTCTATTTCCTTTGTTATTTTAGCACTTGGTAAGTAGAATTCATAGCAGCAAGTTTTAGCATCGGGGGCTTAGGTGGAGCTTGGACTGTTGGACATAGGAAGGGAAGGAGCATCAATTCTTCACAAGGGATATGTCCTGCTATTTTGCAAAAAAAGGAGCATTTTAGTTAGGGGTGGTAATTTGAGACGAACCCATTTATAATTCTATTATATCTCCTTTCATTTCCTAGGTTGTTGGTGACATATATAAAACGTTCTGGTACAAAACGAGAAATGACGAAGACAAGAAAGTTGTGTATATAGCACGCAGAGCGAAGCCACATTGTCCTTAGGGTGGCCAACCATCCTTCGTCGAAAAACTACAAGTAAAATATTAAGTTTTACAATATATAACATATATTGCACACCCTTTATCAAAAATAATTTTAAGTTCTTTCAAGTTTGAACATCCTTGGAGAGACTCCTGGCAATAAGTTGGTTGAAATTGTGAAAGAATCTATTGGTATTAATTGAGAAGTTTTATTTTGTGTCTCGTACAACTTACACTAGTTGTATGAGGCTTCTTTTTGTCTCACAAATTTATGGACCCCAATCTTACACTTCTGGGTCCACAAAACTGTGAGACAAAAAAGTTGTCTCATACAACTAGTGTCAGTTGTACGAGACACAAAATAAAATTTTCCTTATTAATTAAAGAGTTTCTAACATTATGTATGGTGTAACGATGGAAGGTACATTTTACTAAAGGCACGAAATACACTAAAAAATGCAAAAAAATGTGTGATCGTGCAAAATACAGAGTGATGCACCGCGCCAAGTATATACTTAAAAATTATCAAGAAGAAAACATAGACTTTTATTAAATTAAAGTAAATTAAATTTTGCGTAGAGAGAGAAAATTAGTCTATAACAATATAAATTGATAAAGAAACTTGTAACAATTTTGATTGGTTAGAACAAGAACATACTTCTACTCAATAATAAATGTCACCGCGTACTTGTTCTTGCCTGGATTATGCAACCAAACTTACAATAAACAGCTTCAGTTTAGTCAACTTGACCTTTTCCTTCTTTTTGTTTGTTAATAATTTATTCTCTTTACTGCTTCATGTCTATATATCTCATTCTCCATCTTCCTTCAAATATCTTCAATACTCCATCAATAATACAATATCAATTGAACACCAGCTTTCTTCCAATAGACAGACCTCTTTTTCCAGCTCTGACTAAAGAGAAAACCAAGACACCTGAAGATGGTTGATGCCATTGTATCATTTGCTGTTCAAAAACTGGGCGATTTCCTCATACAAGAAGTTGCCCTGTTTAGAAGTCTGAGAGAGGATGTGCAGTGGCTGAGAAATGAGCTGCTCTTCATGCAATCTTTCCTCAAAGATGCAGAACAAAAGCAAAATGAAGATCAAAAAGTTGAACAATGGGTGTTTGAGATCAACTCTATTGCTAATGACGCTGTCGCTATACTCGAGACTTACACCTTTGAGTCTGATAAAGGTAGTGACCCTGGATTTGCTAGCCGTCTGATGGCTTGCGCCTGCATATGTAGGAAGGAGACCAAATTCTACAAAGTCGTCAAGGAGATCCAATCATTCAAGCAGCGAGTCATGGATATATCTCGCAAACGGGAGACATATGGTATTAGAGACATCAACAATACACGAGAAGGGCCAAGTAATCAGTCCGCTATGGTTAGAACATTGAGGAGAACTACCTCGTATATAGATGACGATCATATTTTTGTTGGCTTTCGGGATGTTGTAGAAAGCTTGCTAGCTGAACTTCTCAAAGAAGAGCCTCGTCGAAGTGTCATCTCCATTTATGGTATGGGTGGTTTAGGCAAGACTACTCTTGCAAGAAACCTCTACAACTCTCCTAATGTAGTCTCTAGCTTCCAAACACGCACTTGGATATGTGTTTCTCAAGAGTACAACACCATGGATCTCCTTAGGAATATCATAAAATCCATCCAAGGTCGCACAAAGGAAAGTCTGGATTTGTTGGAAAAGATGACAGAGACGGATCTAGAAATTCACCTTCGTGACCTCTTGAAAGTTCGCAAATATCTTGTGGTGGTTGATGATGTATGGCAGAGAGAGGCATGGGAAAGTTTGAAAAGAGCCTTCCCAGATAGCAAGAATGGCAGCAAAGTTATTATTACCACACGCAAAGAGGATGTTGCTAAAAGAGCAGATGACAAAGGTTTTGTCTATAAACTTCGTTTCCTTAGCGAAGAAGAAAGTTGGGACCTCTTTTGCAGGAAACTACTTGATGTTCAGGCAATGGTCCCAGCAATGGAAAGGTTAGCTAAAGATATGGTGGACAAGTGTGGAGGCTTACCTCTTGCAATTGTTGTATTAAGCGGGCTACTTTCTCATAAAAGGGGGCGAGAAGAATGGCAAAAGGTGAAGGACCACCTTTGGCAGCATATGAAAGATGACTCGATTGAAATCTCCTATATACTCTCATTGAGCTACCACGATTTGTCAACTTCACTCAAACAGTGTTTTCTTTACTTTGGTATTTTTCCAGAAGATAGTATGGTCGGTGTTGAAAAGATAATGTGGTTGTGGATGGCCGAAGGATTCATACCAAGAGGAGAAGAAAGAATGGAGGATGTTGCTGAATGCTTCCTACATGAGCTTATAAGACGAAGCTTGATTCAAGTCGTAGATACATTTTGGGAAAAAGTTATTAAATGCAAGATTCATGATCTAGTTCGGGATCTTGCCGTGCAAAAGGCATTGGAGGTGAACTTTTTTGACATTTATGATCGAAGAAAGCACTCCATATCCTCCTTATCTCTAAGACATGTCATTCATGGTCAAGCACAAAGGTATCTCTCACTTGATTTCTCCAACTTGAAATTAAGGTCAATTATGTTTCTA